GAATATATTGCAATACAAGTATGTGTGTGTCTGTGTGTGTGTGTGTCTGTGTGTGTGTGTGTGTGTGTGTGTATGTGTGTGTGTGTGTGTGTGTGTGTGTGTGTGTGTGCGTGTGCGTGTGCGTGTGCGTGTGCGTGTGCGTGTGCGTGTGCGTGTGCGTGCGCGTGCGCGTGCGCGTGCGCGCGCGCGCGTGCGCGTGCGTGTGTATGTGTCAATATATAAATCATTAACTTTGTAACGAATGCTATCAATGTTTGACAATTCGATATGTATGATATGTCGAATTTGGTAATCATTCTATCTTTTGAGAATGCTTTTTTGTATTCGGGACGGACAATGACCTCTTCGTTAGTATAAAGAGAACACGTGTAAGGACTTTAAATAAAAACATGCATTTACGCTTTAGGTGGCAGTTTAATTATTCACTTTGACTCTTTTGAGAATCCTAAATCCGCGTAGATTTGCATGACTCCTTTGCGCAAAGCACTAACTGGAAGCTTGTGCCACTAGCATTGTCTGTGTATTCTTTTAATAAAAAACAACTGACGAATAAGCTGCCCATATCCGTTATCTGATGGGATAATCCCGTGTTTCAGGTGCGTTTGATATGTTGCAGCCTCGTTCACAGTTCCTTTATGTCGCGCACCAACGACGTGTACATATCCACATGTGCTCGAAGTGACTGCATTTTCATGAATTCGTTGTACTAATTTGAACGTGTACTTGCAAAAACTTAGTGTTATATCCATGGATAGTTATTTGTGATGTAACAACCAGCTTCGAACAAGGACGACAACATGGTGGATAATTATATGACGTACTGGGATGAAAATCCCGCGTGACATAGAAACCTGCAAATTGTGTATTGCGAGACCTGGTAGGGTTTTGTTTCTCTGAATGATTTTTTGAGCTCATTTTTGACAATTATTGTTGATAATTAATATTTTCTGAAATAAGATTTGTGAATTCATTTAAGCAAAATCTACCAGTTCAAAATCGTAATTATAGTAATTTACTTTATTATGTTATTATGTTATTATACTATTCCGGTTTTAGTGATAACTCGAGAACGAGTATGCAAAATTGGGGTACACATTTTCAAACTTAATTAACCGTTCTATCTGTTCAAACACGTTGTACCTTTATCTTATTCTGCGATTCGAATGTATTAGAAAATATATTTGTTGTCAATCAGTCAAACTTATGCTGACTATTAACTAAATTTACACTTTATATGGACTATGGTCGTACTGATATATCGCAAACCAGAATAACAAGATTCGATTGTTTTTGTTTATTGAAGAGCGGTGGTCGTAGACTAAAAGATCGCCAACTCTGTTTCTTTTGCGATCGTCTCTATTAAAGCACCAACCATGGAATATGCCCGGAAAATTCAAAACTCTTGTATTGTTTCAATTGAATTGAATTATAATAATAATATTCCATTTTTAGTGGCTCAGATCAATGTATATTGGCAGTGTAATCGTTGATGTTATAGGAAGGAAATGGTATTGTTCTCGCCTAGATAAGTGCTCTTGATGTTGGCAGTCATAGGGGTGTGTTTCAGTGAGGCAATGGTCATTCTAGTGTGCTTCCGTTCCATTTTCAATGTATTTTTCGGATGTTCAAATCAAACCGAAATCTTTCTGAAGACCGACTACTATTTTTCTTCACGTTATTTTATTGTTTTTCCCTCCTACATTTTCCCAACATATGTATACTAGTATTCATTAACTTATTGCAGGTGATGTTTCCTTCTTTGATCATGTTTACGAGAAGTGCATCTTCCAGCGCTACAATGATAACCATTATGCTTACATACACAGCTTCAAATGACTGCATGCACTATCCATTTTTGATGTTTTTTTTATGTTAAGGTAGAGATGCAGGTTTGTGGGCACTTGGGAGTGATTTTTTTATTTTTTGGTTTTTATTATCCAATTAGTCTTTGCTATAGACTGTTTTTGTAGAATTGTGAATAGTGGAACATACTCAAAAAACTATTTTAAAATATAGATAACAGGTGCAAACATTATCTCTTTTGAATGCTTAACAAAATTTAGCAAGGCTGTACATAAATAATAAAAAAGAAACATGGTGAAAAAAAGAAATGATGGGATCTCCATATTATGCACTATATTTAACTTTTAACAAAACGATAATACATTTAAATTTGGAGCTGTTACAGCCATTTTAATTATGGCATGAGCAAACGTCTTACTCAACTGAGTGAATTGTTATGCAAATTAGCAATTATCTCAGCTTCTTTTTAGTGCACATCCCAGAACTTTAAAAAAAATAGCTCCTAGACGCTTTGACCTTTTGTGTTGAATTTTTCACAAATGATTGACAATGTGTTTATCTTCAAAACGCCGTCGGGGCATTGTTTTTGGTTGAACAGTGTTACAACAATCGTGCAGACAACTAGCCTGGGTGTTTATGCATAAACTTGAAGTAGTGAAATTTGAGCTGCTGCCCTGCAAAATTTACAACTGGTAGACAGTTTTCAAGAAGGCACTTTCTTCATAGTAAACAGATGTACCCATAAACCGCATCTCTACCTTAATGGTGTCGTACATACCAAACTTGTATTTGTGTATAAAATATTAGGAAAATATGATATAAATCTGAGAAATAACTGGCCTGTTGACATTTGACAAATGAAGGTATTAATTGGAAACTGCATTTTTTCAAAATAAGTACTTGTTTCTCCGACATTAATGTGAATATATTTAATATATTTGAATATGACGCTCCAATGCACTGGATATTTAATGTATTCTGTGAAAACTATACGGATCGTTAGGTAAACGAACATTTTTAACTAACTGTTCGCTTTTCTCAAAAAATTACTGAAAGCAATTTTTATCTATGTGCCTCGAGGTCCGTTAAATATTTATTCCTGTTATATTTATTTAATATATCGTATATTGATGATAATTATCTTGATGTCTGTAATTTTAAGTCATTAGTGATTGTAATTGATTTGCTCCCTGTGCGCCGACGCGTTTTTTTGTGCGTGTACAGTTAACAACATTTTAGTTTTCAAAACGC